TATATATACTTATAGAAAATAAATCTATAAATGTAATCATCTTCAACGATAAATAATAAAAAAAAATAATCTACATTTAATTTATGTATTGGATCTTCATTAAATAAAGATTAACCCGCACGCGTGAATATATTATCAATAAAAGTATGCTGATATCCAATTGACTTCTGACATAAGTTTAATCTTGAAATTTCTATTTTGCAAATTTTGCGATACAAAAAATTCTCTTTAAAAATTGATCTTTATAAGTTGGAAAACATTATATATAACATTATATATATATATATATATATATATAATAATCATATTATATCGCTCAATATCTTTTGTATAGACAGATTATTTAATTTAACATAAATACGAAATCATTGTTACAATTATTATTAGTTATGTAATTATAGTGTTTACCCTATTATACGATTAATATGATTTGTAACGGAAGAATCAATGAAAAGGACAAAACAAGGGATAGACTGATGGAACATCTGGGCTTGAAAAATAAATCATTAAAATACGTAATTAACTGAGCTTGCTATAGTTTTATCAGTGTATTTATTCTCAATAATAAAAAAATCAAATACAATTGTACGGAATAATGACATACCTACCACCTTTATCGCATCTTCATTCGTCAAGTTCCGATAAAAGCTTGACTTATGCTTAATCATTTGCGTGAACTTCTTGCTAATTATGACCTCGCATCTTCTATGGATCCGGTTTTTTCTCAATCTGCTAATTAACTATGTATACTTTAAATTGTCTTCTGATCTATTATTTAATAGGATTAGTATAGAGATAAAAAAAAGAATATTTTCAAGAAATTGTAGGTGTTAATTACAAGTCAAACATTTTATTTAAAACGTTTTGATGTTCTGTATAAGAAGTTAACGAAGATAAATATTTTATGTGTTTTTAGCGATGAACTCTGCAGTCTTTTTCTTTGATTCTCTTTTATGTATTTTCTATAAAACATTCAAACAAGTTTAAGAATGTTTTAAACGGTAACATTCAATTCTTCAAGTTGCTTATGGAAGATAACAACATCTTTGAAGTAAAGATTAGGTAAATTAAAGTTGTATGCTTTAACTGGTTTATCCAGTGGATAACCCATCGGATGTCCATCCATGGTATAAGTTCCCCAGATTGGTGATTCAACTTGTTGGGATTTGCTTTCATCATAGGGAGCGACGTGTACAAAGAGTTTGAATGGCATGCCTTCTTTCTTGCCCTTGGGAATCATTAGGCGATCTGGGAATCCATAAAGTTTCGTGGAGTAGGTGTGAGTCTCCGAGCCATCGATGGCCTTAAGTATTTTCTTGTAGAAAACATCACTGGAAACTTCATCAGGGACAACGAAGGACGATTCATGACTGTTGCGTTCAATCTTATTGGTACCAACTTTAACTGTAATTCAAATAGAAATGGTATTGATATTTTGCTATTTTAAGAAATTAAATGAAAGATCGAACGATAAGCAATATACTTACGATCGACCACCCATTGGTCCAATTGGATAAAGTTCATGTAATTTTCGCTGATGTCTAATTCTTGACCATGTACATTATATTTGGGTCCAAGGAATATACGTACTACACCTTTTACTCTAGTGTCGCTGTTTACGACAGAGATATGATAAGTGAAAGGCTTATGATTGAGACGATATTGACGTGCCTTGATCAACATGGATTGAGCTTCTTTATGATTTTTTACCGAAGCAGCATTGCTAAGTAAGGATTCGTAATGGTCAAAGAACGTCATCAATTTGTCCACAGCAACATGTTCAACTTTGACACCAGGGAAAGCAAGTTCTTCGTATGTATAACTAGGCATGTTCTTCTTGTAGCTAAACCAAACAATTCTCATTAATATATCATGTTATATATAAAATTATTATTTATCGTAACGTATTATTCAAATACGAACTTTACGTAGTAGTTGACGATGTTCTTGTACATGCTGTAGAAGACAGGATCTCTTGTACTAGAACTGTAGATTTCTAATGCACTAGGTGCAACTTGGTATTTAGAAGCTGGTTCCACATTGAATCCAAAGATTTTTCTATTAAGCCAGTCAAAATGTCCGTAGTATTTTGGATTTATTGTATCAGCATTTCCTTGGATGATGTTACCAAGAACATTAAGACCTTTCTGAGTATAGATATTTACTTGTTGACCGGTAACATCTTCGACATAGCCAGAATCAATGGCATTGGCAATACGGGTTTCAACCTGTTGAGCTTTCTAAAAATTTGAAAATTTAATTTTGTAAGTGAAATAATTAGGTAAATTTGTTACTTTATGCAGTAATGATGTTCTCACGAACCTGTACATATTGATGCTTGTTAAGTGGCACCATAGCATCAGTTTCACGCTGAGGGTATGGCAATCCATTGCTGTAATGCATTGTTGGGTAGTATCCAGTAGTAATTGGTTTGTGGAAATCAACATACTCAATTTCACCCATGTCATTTGACAATCTTTCCAAATAGTAACGGGCTAGTAATTGTTTATGCCCTTGTAAGTACATTTCTCCTCGAACGTTAGTAGGTAATTTGTATTGAACACTGTTCATCCAGTAAGGGAAATCGTGATTAATCATGTAATAATATTGTCCAAGACCAACATCTTCGGTGAAATAGCTCAACTTTTGTTCTGGTACATTATCTCTTTGAAGATACCAACCAGTGTAGTTAGTTGGAATTATGTAATATTCTGTACCACCTAGAGTTTTCTTTACAGTTGCTTCACCCACTCCAAGATGGTATACTTTTTGTAAGACATCTGAGTTGTAGAATAAGTGTGGCATAACTTCGTACAGAGGTGGAACACGCATATATTTGGTGTCGCTACGATGGAGAACAGCAACGGTAAGAGCGTAAACGTACATTTGTTCGTTCATATTGAATCGTCCCCATACTGCAGTGTTATAGAAGGTTTCAAAATCTTTAGCAGTATATAAGAGGTTGAAGAAGCTAACAGCTTCCTCTTGAAGTTGAGGATACATGACGGAGAAGACTCTTCCTCGTGGTAGCATTCCATGATTCCAACGTTGAAGAAATTCTTCTACTACAGTCTTTAAAAAACAAACAATAAAGATCAGTTTAAGATGTTAACACAGACAGCTAAGGAAATAATATTTCTTTCGAATATTTTTAAACATAGTAATAAAATCTTCTCGTTGCTAAATATTTCAAATATAGAATTACCTTGTTTGTGTAGGAGTCAACGTGATCCCCAATGTTGTACGAGCGAGCCGTTTGGTAGAGTTCCGAGTGATAATTCGTTGGTTGATCGACGTGCCAAAATAATTCGTAGATACTTTTTTGTTTTATTAGATACGGTTTGTCGGCGGTATTAATTTGGCTAGCGCTTGCTAAGCAAAACGCTCCCAAAAATAATAATGCTACCTTCATTTTCTTATCACCTTTCCCTCTTACCCTATTTAAATTTCTTTTCTATAGCCGTAAGTACGATCCGTTCTTGATTCCTTGTCGAAGATGAAACGTAATCCACTACTGCTAATTGTCTCTTATATACCCTACATTATGTTTAATATCAATTTTGACCTGTTGACAACCCCCTGACTTTGGATTAAGACAAAATACATGAGCAGATGATTAGGTGATATTTATTAAAAAATAATCGTGATGGTTATATAAAATAAACAATTTTTTACTTTGGATTACCAAAATTAAAGAAAGACAAAATAGGAATACGTTGAGTTAAACAGTAGTATAATCTTAATTACCCTTTGACATAAAATATAACCGAGACCTTCTGATACACAGATTATCTCATTAATTCGGTTTTATTTCTTGTGAAATACTCCTGAAAGTGTATCAAAATCCAAGTTGATCTTATCGATTTGTACGTTGAGAGGGAATATTATATTTTATCAAAGTACAAAACAAATTTAATAAAAATATTCGTTCTACTGTTAAAAATATAAAAGAATTATCTTTCTATATTATAAATCTACTATTATTAAATATACAGTACACAATGATTTTAAAATACTTTAAATGAAGTATGATATAATGATGTATTGATTAAATTTAATAGCATAATGAATTGAAAATTAAAAAACAATATAAAAGTATATTACATTTATATTAAAAAGTAAAATAAAAAGTGAATAAAATATATCATCGAATATTTGGTATGCTATCTTGATACGTTTGTAAGTATACTATTATATAAGTGCATTAGTAACATAATTAACTTTATATTTATCCTTATCTTTCTTATTTCGCTTTTTATTTGTTTTTTTTTTTTATATTTCCTCTTTGATATATTATCTTATAATGTTTGCCGCTATCTTAAAAATAAAATGTTGAAATGAGACGTAAGTTAGACTTTGTCTAGACTTTTAAATGAAAAGTTATTATTTTTAATCTCGGAAAACAGTTGCAATAATATAAATTTTTTTTTAAATATTTAAACGTGTAAAATAGTTAAATAAAATAATCGATGTATTGCTGAAAGTTATAGTTTTCATGTATAAATATATTTTACTTTTAATTTTATAAAATTATAAGCATATAATAATATATAAATGCATTTATTGTAAAAAGTACACACGAGAGGGTGGGTTGAAAAGTTTTGAATTTATTTTTGCTTAAAAATTTTGAGTCTATGTCGAAAAATAAAAATGAATTTAACCGAAAAAAAACATTGTTTCTATGTTAAACATAAAATATTTCAACCCGCTCATGTATTATACTGCATCGTGTATATTTCTCTTATATAATATTATTTGAATATAAAAGTCACACACACACAATGAAATATTATATAAATGATGCGCCGAGAGAAGTTATCTCGTAATATGTATATTTTATTAATTCCTTTATTTTTGATAATATTTTTATAACATAATATATTTTTCATATGGTAAAATTAAATGTTCATCAATTAAATTTTATTTTCTCTGTTAAATTAAATATTTCTAGGAGATATTAATAATATTATTGAAACAATTCTGATAATTTTTAAAATGCATGTTTACTAAAAACGTTAAAATTCTAATATTAATAATAATTAATAGACGTTTAAACATTCATAACAATATAATTAATACAGTGTTTATATCTATATTATTATTATTACTATTATTTAAATAATAAATCAAGTTATGTCTCTTAAACAGGGGTGACCAATTTCACCATATATATGATCGACTATTTTTTTTAAATATGTCGTGATCTGTCTACTAAAATCTTGACATTTAACACATTCGAAAAGGTACCACGACCTTTTGTTAATAATAATAAGTTTCGTTTGCATGTAGAAATCTTATTTTTTCAGCTATGATCGATCAAAAATTGCTTCGCAATCGACTTGTTGGCAATTCTTGTTTTAAAAAAATATAATCGATAATTATAAAACATATTTTTAATAATTTGTTAGAGTAAGGATAAATCATAGGATTTATATAATATAAAATGACAATTTAAGAATATTTAATTTATTTAACATTTATTTTCAGAATTTGTCTATAAACTAACAGTCGCATGGTACGAAATCGCAACCATTGATTTAACTGTTGTTAACTCTCAATAGTGTGAGAATTTTTCGACATCCTTCGTGTTGTAAATGTAAACGTCCTTAAAGTACATGTTGGGAGTAAAGAATTTCCATGTGTACATTGGTCTGTCAAGAGGGAAGCCGCATGGTTTGCCATCGTAGTATATTTTTCCGAAGATCGGTAATTCGATTTTCATCACCTTCGATTCGTCGTACGGAGCCAGGTAGAAGAACATCTTGTATTTCATACCCTCGGGTGTACCCTTGGGAAGAGTTAGACGTTCAGGGAACCCATAGAGTTTTTCGTAATAAGTAAATGGTTCGCTACCACTGGCAGCCTTCTGAAGTTTCTTGTAGAACGAATCGCTGGACATCATGTCCGGCATCGTGTAAACAGATTCACTGCTCTTACGTTCAATATTGTTCGTACCTGGCTTAACTGCAAAAAGAAGAAATAAAGAGAAACAATTATTGTACCATTGTGTGTTGTCGTGTTCACGTGTAAACGTTTGATGAAATATTAAATATTTTTACTTACGCGTTACAATGAATTGATCCAGTTCTACGAAGTATTTATAGTATTTACGGAGGTAACTTAAATCTTCACCCTTGCCATCGAATGCAGGTCCAAGGAAGATCTTAACCATTGCCTTAGTATCTTTATCGGAATTTACGCTTACATGATATGTAAATGGTTTGTAATTTAGGCAATAACGACGCGCCTTGATGCGCAGGGATAATCCTTCTTTAAAGCTATCAAAGAAGACGGCATTATTGATCGTTGCATCGCAGTAGTCAAAGTAGGTCCAGAGTTTCTCCATGTTGACGGATTCGATCTTGATACCAGGGAAGTTGAGTTCGTTTTGAGAGTAGACTGGTAGATTTTCTTTGTATCTGTGAAGATACACATCAATTAAATTCGATTATAAATTCTAACACGATTGGGATTCATCTATTTGATGCTCACCTGTATACAAAGTTGCTGATTTTGTTAAAGAGACGATAGAAAGCAGGATCTCTCATGTTAGTGCTGTAGAGTTGCATAGCGCTTGGTACGAACTTGTTTTTGTCCGCATAGTCGAAATCGTATCCAAAAACATTTCTTACCAACATTTCATACATTCCATAGTAACGTGAGTTACAGGTATCGGAATTACCTTCGATCAGATTACCGAGAATGTTCAAACCTTCAGGAGTGTAAATGCTCACAAACTTGCCACTGTGGTCTAAAACTAGTCCGGAATCAATAGCGTTTATAAAACGAAGTTCCAGAATATCAATGTCCTATAAAGGAATTGAAATCGAAAATAAGTATATTCGTTATTGTTTTAACACTCCTTTTCCTATTGCATTCTACTAACCCTTAAGTAATAGTTTTTGTAATAAGGTATATTGTAGTAACTCTTGCGTTGAGGCATTACAGCACCGTTACTGAACATTATGGAAGAATAAAATCCTGGATAGAATGCTTTCTGGAAGTTAAAATCTTCGATCTCGCCCAAGCCATTCGACAAACGTTCCAAATAATAACGAGCGATCAGTTGCTGATGGATATACAGGTAGAAAATACCACGGAATTCCTGAGGAATGTTATATTCCTTGCTGTTCATCCAGAATGGGAAAATCTGACGGAAGTAGTAATAATAGCTGTTCAAACCAAAATCTTCGATGAAGTAATCCAATTTATAATCTTCATTGTAGTATGATCTATCAGTGTAATTATTGTAAATTATGTAAGTGTCAGTGTGATCCGTGTTACCAGTAGGAGTTAAACCTGCAAATAGACAAATATAATGTTGATATAAAAGAGATTTTTTAAAAACGAACAGTAATTTAAAAAGAATTATTCAGTATCCGTACCGTGTGTCATTTTAATGCGGTGCGCTTCCTGGATTACATTCGAGTCGAAGAAATAGTGAGGAAATGATTCATAGGGTGGTATGGGATACATGTATTTGCAGTCGGGCCTATAGAAGACGGCAACATAGAAAGCATACGAGAAGACTTCGGGATTCAAATTAAGACGTGCCCATGCAGCGGTTTTGTAGAATGTCTGGAAATCTTTAGCGCTGTAGAAAAGTTTGAACAATAGGATCATTTCGTAGCGTTGCTCTTCTTGGAATGGCGAAAAAACAGCATCACGGCTAAGCATGCCATGTTTGTAATAATACATGAACTCTTTCACGATATTCTGCAAACGTAAATGATCTTATTAACATCAAAATGTTAAATAAAATCGATTATAAATGCTTGATATACACATTAAATCGATCTTAGTATTTTTGGTGTTGACGAAAAAATGAAATATAATAGATAATTATCACCTTGTCTGTGTACATATCCACGTTATTCTCGATTTCATAGTTGCGTCCAACAGTGTAAAATTCGGTGTCGGTTAGAACGTTTTGTTTCACGTAGAACAGCAATTCGTAGATCTTCTTTTGCTTGTGGATGAAATCCATGTCAGCAGTGTGACTTTTAATACTGACGACATTCGACAGGCATAATGCCGCCAATACTAAGAAGAGCACTTCCTTCAGCAACATCTTTCTATAATTTTTAGCCTCTTGACTAAGATCTTTACCCTAACTGTGTTAGGGAGAACGATGCTTCAACAGAATACGAGACCACGCTTTTATACCGGTGGTTTTTCGTTGTAATCATTGTAACCTGTGACCTGAAATGTTCGTCGGTCGTCAAAATGATTGAATCAATCGTTTAATGGCTAAACAACACTACAAAAACAAATCATACGTGTTTTTCAGTTAAGAAGTACTTTATTGTGATATTACAAAATGTCTATTTAATTGAAATGATGGATCGTAGTTTGACGAAATAAATATTTTCTCATTATACGATAAATATTTGTTATGATTGAAATATTTTCGGAAATCTTTAGATAAATATCGTGATTTTTTTCTCTTACTTCATATTAGAAGAACACATAGAAGAAGAATAAATTTCATTACATTATATTTATATAGTAAAAAAAAAATCTCATACATCAAAAATTGCATTATTTCTAATGTTTCATTTCATTAACTAGAAAAATTTAAAGATATTTGTTATAGATAAGATTGTTAGAAGTAATCCAATACATTATAAATAAAAAACGAGAATTACAAAAGACAGAAAAATTCCATTTCTCTTAAAGTCATCGCTAATATATCATCGCTAATAAATTTACTAGAATTAAGTATATCATTCTAAAATGTCAATTACGGAGAAAAAAGACAATTTGGAATTTCGATTATTGAATTCTCTTCTTGTTCAGTTTTCAATTCTTCCTTTTCACAGATGTTATTTTATCTCTGTTACATGTTCGATAAATTATTTTTCTAATCAAAATTTAATAAAATGAATTTAATATTTCGTTTATAATCCATTTTATTTAGTTAGAGATAGTTTTTTGTATTTCGCGAGTGTAGAAAATAATATTTTTTTCGAAAACGCTAAATTATTATATGTTCAAAAATATCAAAAATATAAATTAATTATGCAATATATTTTCTGACTTTGATATTATACAAATACGAATAAACGTTTATTATCTTTTTTAAGTCGTACATACATATGCCTGTTTACATCTTTTGAAAAAAAATTGATTGTGTTATAATCTTTCATTTATCTCATTAATCGTTATAATTATATGAAAAGAAAAATAAAAGGGAGAAAGAAACGGATGGAGAGGGGACTATCTACACTTCATTAAACCTCATTTAAATCATAATGAGTGATTAAATTGACACTTCATAGCTTGATTTATTGCACGTTTGTCATTTCACAAGATTATTAATTATAAGAAAAATAAGATATGGAAAAATCATTTTTTAGAATATGTATGGTACATTCTCGTAGTTTTTAATTCAAACAATACTCTTTTTCTTCTTCTTTTAACAATTTTCTTTGTTTTTGAAACGTTTTAGAAAATATAATCTTCTTTTGTAAATCGGAATATTCTACAAATAAAATGAAGAGAACTTATCGTTAAATATTATTTTATTGAAAGATGTAAAAAAAATTATATTGCAAATTTTGGATAAATTATAAAGGTTCGTAAAATCGAAAAAATGTTACCTTTTCGGAAGTATTTTTCATTATCTCGTAAATAATTATCATCATAATCGGGAAAAGTTATTTTATGCATTTGAATAACATTTCGTGTTATTTCTTCGCGATCTTCGTTGGTCAGAGGAATTGTACACACGTAATTACTGACATAAAGAAAAATACGAAGCCATGAGTCCTAACAAAATATAATTATTACAATTTATTTATAAAAATATCCATAATCTTTTTTCCAATATACTTTTAGTGAAAAATTAGCATCAACTAAATATAGTATTATTACGCGAACGTAATCAATTAATACTTATAATTAAAATATAAATAAAATGGAAATAAAATATTACGCACGTTAAAAGTATTTTCTAATATATTTAATTGTTTTTCCAAATCGAGTATCGTTTGATATATTTGAGATTTGAAATTAGCTTGAGTTTCTGTATTCGAGGTTACAATATGTTGATTCTTTCCATTATCATCTTTTTTGAAGTTATTTATATCTTCGCGAATGTTCGTTCGTAATTTACCGATTTTTTGTTTTAATGTAATCAGAAGATTAGCAAAATTAAACATTACATAATGAAAACTTCTCATAGTAGTTATATTATCCATATTGTATTTTATTCATTATCAATTCGAATACAAATAATTCTTTCAATACCGAATGCTACATAATATTTAACGATATTGAATAAAATGTTATCGAGAACTGTTGAACAGCAGAAAGTTTCGACGATTTATTTTGTTTTATTTGAACTAAAAAACTGACTATTTTTCAGTTCAAATACAGTTGGGTCGTAAGTGCATAGCGGGAGTTTATTTTTACAATATAAAAAAAGTAACATAGATATTTTTTAATATTCATATAATAAATAGAAATCGTGCAACCAGTTTATTAATTAAAGTTCAAAAATTATTGGTGTTTTTATTTTATTTTTCACACGTTAACAAAATTTGGGTTAACGTAAAAATAAAGAAAAATAAAAAAGGAAAAACAGAAATGATGAATAAATATTTCTTTATTATGTACACCTTATGCTGGCTATATATTTAACAGATATAGTAATATAAAAAGAGTATGAATAAATCATTTCTGATTAAGAACCACAGTAAATGTAGCTGTCATTTTATATCAGTCTTTACAATAAGTCTACTCATAAATATTATGAATAATTCTTTGGCATAATCCCTCAGCAGATTGCACGATCACTTTTAAATATTTCTGAATTAAATTTGGAGATGTTAAAGGATTGAAAATGCAATCCACTTAAAGGTTTTATATCCAATAGATTTTGTATTTGCTATTTACATTTCTCAGGAACTTGATTCCAGAAATAAATTTTATATGAAAATCTGTACTGATATTGTACTTTTAGCATTTATAACAAACAATCGTACAGAGATGGCAAACAAAATTCAACTGCTCATATCGTCTTCCTCTTTAAATATAATACTTTTACTGTCATTTTCATTTTGCTCTTCTTGATCAGAATTTTCTTCCCAATTCTCATCTGATTCGCTTTCTAAATCGGCATCTTCTATGGCAGGACCTTCATCAGATGAATCTATATAAACAAAAATTGAATTAAAAAATGTATATAAAGTATGAAGTACGTTTTCTAAAAAATTAAAATAATATAAATATATAAGATGTTGATCATAAATTCTTACCTGCATCCTGATAGAAAAGTAAAGTATCATCCATCATACTGTCTTGTTCTTCTTTGCTCCCGGATATTTGTCCTGTCACAAGTGAAACCCGTCCTCGTAATTTTGATATTTCAGTTAACAGCATTAACTTCGCATCAATCAAGCTTAAGATAGGACTAAGTGATTCTCCGATATCAGGATGCGATAAAAGATGTGCTGCATGTGTTGTCACCAATATATGTAACCACATGGTAGCTATTTTACTCCTAGAAAAATATTGTTTTATGAATAATTAAAATACTTAATAATTAACAAAATAATTTATTACAGAAAAGAGAATATCTTACGGATAAGTCTTGCCATGTAACATGGAACATAATTCTTTCAGCAAAGGTGTTATTGCCTGGACGGGTAATCTGGCAATAGTATTTCGAATTGTTCTTTCATTTTTCGTATATAATACACTATTTAGAATGATCCTATCTTTACTGTTTAGACCTTGCATCAACAACTGTATCATATTAGCTCCTTTCAAAGGAGTCTTACCTGTAGAATTAGTTTCAACATTAAAACTAAGATTTTCTAATCTATCTTTTAAAGGTAATGCAGAACCCGCCGAACTGGTCCTATTTCTTTTAGTTGTTGTATTTCCTGCTCCTAAAAGTAACAAAAACATTTAATTAGCTGATAGAAAATAATGAAATTTTAATAAACAAATTTATATATTACCAACCAGGAGCAAGATATTCAACATCATTCTCCGTAATAACGGTTTTTACTTTTGTAATTGATTCTTCTTTCTTTTCTTTTGTCTTTTTTATTTCAGAGCGTATTAAATACTGTATTTTATCCGAATAGTCTGGCGTTATTTTTTCAAATGTTAGATTTATGTAAGAACCATATGCTAATAATAACTTTTCATTTTCTATCGATTTCGCCATAAAAATAGGAATCTGTTGTACAGCATCTTTTTGATTTCCATCAGAAGCAACTGCAATTGTCAGCGTTGGCTTCAGTGGCTTGAAACGTCCATTTGGTTGGTATTTAAAAATATGTGCTTGTCCTGATCTAGTAACGGCCAATACCATCATTTGAGAATCCTCCTCAGTGACGTGTACAGAAACAGACATAGCTTCATCTTGCATAGTTAATGAAGCAGCAGAACACTTATCATTCTTCGTCTAATCAAAGTGAAAATAGTATCATTAAAAATGAGAATGTCACATTTTATTAGTTAAAAATACAAATGATAGTCTTATACGTTGTATAATATACCTCATCAAGAGCCCATATACTCAAATATCTATCGTCGCTGGCTCCACTAATTAAATAACTGGTATCTTGATTCACTGTTATTGCATTTAAAGAAGTAACTTGTCCAGCATGTCCAGTAAAAGTCCGAATAACTTGCTTCGTAGACAAACTCCACCATTTGATTATTCTTTCAGCAGAGATTATGAATTGTCCGTCTTTCGTTACTTCTAAGGCTGTAACTTTTGCCTTACCAGACTTCCACTTAGATTTAATACCATTTTCTTTCATATTCCATTCAATTATATAATGATCATCCGCAACTGTGAATAAACCATTATTTACGGACCAAGTCAAAGCTGTTACACACGAAGAATGGCCATTTTCTAATTGACCACAAACAGCAGCAGCTGCGACATCATATAAAGTGATCATTCCATTTGCTGATCCCATAACAATAATTGCTTTTTGTTCCACCTCTTCCACAATCCCCTTCCTTTTGCGTTTTTTCCATGGTAATGACTAGAATAATATTAAGATATTAATGAATAATAATATAATTATAATATAGTTTGATGTAATAAAATACATTTTTTCAATATTTAAATTATATAAATGAAAAAATATGTACTTCAATAGATATACACATTAGATCTACTATAACCTAAAGTCATTTTATTACAAATACCTATTAGTTTTATAATTAGGAAACAATGGAAATTCTATACATAATTGTAAGATAAATAATTAATAGCAATTAATAATAGAAAACATACAAACGGTAATTCAAAATAAACATTTATATTCATATAATTGAGAATAGATAAATAATAAAAAGCACATGGCATACCGTTGCATTTGTCGCCTGAATATTTACAGAAATCCAGCATAATACATTGCACGGCGAATTAAGATGTAGATTAGGTATATATTCTTGCTTGAGTCTATTCGTTGCTGTTTCCCAAATTTTCAGTTTTCCATCAATTCCACAATGAGCAAAATATTGTCCGTCTTGAGAAAACGCGGTACAAGCGGTGTACGCCATTCTGGCCGCTATTACTGTATCCTTTGATTCTATATATTTGAAATAGTCCTAACGCGAGTAACTGTAAATAAGTTTAATTTTAAATATCAGTATGCATATTGAGTTTATTAGAAATATTCTAATATTAATATCTACCTTTGTTAACTGAGCACAAAAGTGAAATATTTTCTCCAGTTAATATTTAAAACTGGGATTCGGCAAAAGTTGAGATATGACCACTCAATTAGAAGGCTGTTGAAAGAAGAGGTTGATAACGTCGAAGAATAAAGCCACATGGGCTGACAACCATGGAATCACATAGAAAGGATATGTTATGGGTTTTATGATGAAAAACTTAAATTTTTAGTTTCTAAAATCGCCAGTATGGACGCTCAACTCGTTTTCTGGTAACTGCATAACTGCATAACTTGTCCAGATTTATCAGAAATTTACCATGAACTAGATGGCATTTTACAAATGGCGTCATCCATGATGGCTGCCGCCACTGTTCGAGCTGTCAAAGGACGAAAAATTCTTTCTACGAGAGCTGCACTGACATTAGTTAGTATTTAAATAATTAAAAATTTATTTTTTTGTTTCTAAATATAATATATGCAATCATGTTTTTAAAATGTTTTCCTTTATAAATGAAGTACAAGTAATCTAACCTACAATTTTTATTATCTTAGTTATTATCATGAAAATAATGAAAACAAATATGATTTTGCAAAAATCATTCTTAATTTTTATAATAATAACTTGTGATTGCTAAAAGATTCTACTATTATCTGACAGTACAATATATGTCAAAATACAGTAATGCCTATTTTAAGAAACAAGTTTTAATATATAGTATAATTAAATCTATATATTTACCTATTTCAGACACCTAATGCTGTTAAGAAAATTAAGGAAATTTTGGATAATAAATCAGAATATGTAAGTACATATTTAGTATCTTTTATGTATATCATAGTTCTTACATAACATAGTACATTAGAATGTACTATAATAATAAAATATATATAAACTCGCAATATAATAAAATATATGTATATATATTTAAATATTTTACATTTTGAACTAGAATGTTATTATAATAGTTATTCTCACAATTGTGAGTAGTTAATCTATTCTTAATATTCTGAGCTTCTTTTCATGTGTTAATAATTATAGATTGGTCTTAAAGTTGGTGTAAAACAGCGAGGTTGCAACGGACTGAGTTATACATTAGATTACGCTAAAGAAAAAAGCAAGCTAGATGAAGAGGTGGTACAAGATGGAGTTCGTATAATAATAGATAAAAAAGCTCAACTATCGCTTCTTGGAACGGAAATGGATTATATTGAAAACAAACTAAGTTCTGAATTTGTGTTTAACAACCCAAATATCAAAGGGACGTGTGGATGTGGTGAAAGTTTTTCAGTATAGTCAATATTAGTTCTATATATATAGTAGTCATTTTAAATTGTATAATTAATACTAAAATGGAGTGATTCAATTAAATAAGATTTAATTTTTGAGAAGTAAAATCATTAGGGTATGCACTGAATTAAAAATTTTTAAATTATACATTTATTTTATTGTTTGACTGTGTGTGTGATGGAGATAATTTTCTTCGATTTTAGTTATGGGGTAATATATATTATTTTATGTTCAAATAAATCTGATATTGTTTATTTGTAAAGCTTATCTTTAACTTAGAATTTGATGTTACTTCACATATGTATGTTTAATAGACTACCACTTATCATAGTCAACCAATTTTAAATTATGTATTCTTATGTATATATGTAAAACAAATCTTTTTATTCGTTTAAGTAAAATGATGTAAATATAGATAGATAAATCATCTATAGAAATAAATATACATTTAAAATGATTATAATGTAGTAATACTCTGTCTTGTAATGAACTCTGTGAGTTGTATAAGATCTTATAGTATTTTTACTTTATACTTACATATATCCAATTCTTTTCTTTGGATTTATATTTACACTTAAGTCGTATTTTTAAATACATGCATCTATTTAATTTATAATACCATACTTTTATAATACCATAATTCGTGATCACATCATGTCTCATAATAAATACTAATTTTAATTGATCTATTCAATAGCTATTGATTTATAAGCATGTACATACAATATACGTTACTATGGTAACTCACACAATCTATTTGATCATCACAAGATATTAGATATACGTACCTAGTACTTTGAAGTTTTTAGTAGAATAAGTGGTTTTTTATTTTGATTTAGTTAGCCTATTTTTAATATTGTACAATGTGTGAGACAGAAGTACAGAACCTATCATCTCTTAAATATGATTCATCTACACTTAATCCAGTAGAGAATTCAAACAAGCTATCCAAATCATTTTGGATAGGCAAAGCCTCTGTACAAGTTCCAAATGTTATAGATCCGGATGATGCATTGATGAAAAGATTTCAAAGTGCATTAAAGGAACATCTTCTTCGCTTAAATAATAAGCTTTCAGAAGAAATACTTGATCTTGTAAGAAGAATATTAATGTGCAGTATGTTTTACTTTTCCCCCTTAAAATTGCAAATGCTTTAGCAATTTTTTATCTTCATTCCCCAATTTGGTTGTTACTACATTTTATTTTATTTTTTCCTGTTTTAGTATTTGCTAAATTGTCAACACTTCTTTTTAAAAAATTATTTCTGTTTTTGATTAATAATATTAGTTTGGTAGTAATAATAATATTTTAGGAAGCACTTGTAAAATCTACTAAAAAGAAACATGAAGAAGAAAGTCTACAACTTTATTACGCGCAACAAGAAATTATGCAACAAGAAAATACTATTGAAGAATACAAAAATACGTTGATGAAACTTACATCTTTACGAGAAGAAAAGAATCAGAAAGTTAATGATATCAAAGAATTGCATAAAAAAGCAAAAGAGAAGATGCAGGAGGAAAAAGAAAAAGAAGATAAACTTTTACGTGATTTGCAAAAAATGACCGCCTTACAAAATCAATTTGCCGATTGGGAAGAAGAAATAAAACAATGTTTAATGATTTCAAAGAAAACATGCCAAAAAGATGCAATTCTTCAGCAAGAATTAATTAATGAGAAACAAAAAAAGGATTGCATTTTATTTAAGCTTCGAGAAGAAGTCTGGAGATTGGAAGAAGAAATAAACAATTTTAATGAACAAGTACAACTAAAACTTAAAGAAAAAGTAGCAACAAGTCAATTAGTTGCAGATGCAAATGCAGATTTAGAAGCTTTGCATAGAGAACATACAAATTTAAGTAATGCGTGGAATGGAGTTGTGTTAAATATCAGTAAACGTGATAAAATATATGATCAATTAACAGAAGAACGCCAGTAAGTTAATGAGATAATATATGGGGTCTTTGTTAATAAATTATAAGTAAATTTATTAATATAACATTATTTTCATTTGTAAATTTTGTAGAAAAATGCATGATTCCTTCAATGCATTACAAACAGAAATAGAAAAATTAAAAAAAGAAACGCTTAAAGAATCAGAAAATAATGAAAATTTAACATCATTACAATCAAGAGTAGAAGATGATTTAGTAGTTATCTCAAAAATGGTTTCAACGGGAATTGAAAAAATCAATAATCTGGAATCTGAATTGATTAGAATTACTAAATTTGCGGAACAAACTCTGAATGAATATAATTTTACGAACGCTGTACGTAATTCGTATTTTCAGTATATGAAATATCATTGCTTTTAATAATTTTTAGATATTTCTTTAGGAATATCAAAATTATTTAAATAAAGAGGAACAAATCGATAAAGAATTAGCTAAATTAATGAATTGGAAAATGGAACAAGAGAATCTCATTTTTGAGAAATTAAAAGAAAAAATTACACACGACAAAGCAGCACGTTATTTAAATAAACTCTTAATGAATACAAAGAAGATGATACAGGAACAGGAACTTTTACTTGTTCAAGTAGAAAATTCATATGGAAAGAATTTATTAGAGATGGCGAGATTAAATACTTCAATAGAAAATGAAAAAATAGAATATCAAGAACTTTCGCAAAGAAATAATGAAAAGGAAAAGGATATAAACGAATTGCAAAAAGAAATAAAGAAATCTGACGCCACAATTGAAAGAAAACAAATGAAAGTTATTACTTTAAACAAAATGATCGATCAGGTATGTTTTCTTAACTCTTGTACCGTTGTTGATGACTATAGATGCTTTAAACATTAGCTCATAGTATACTGTTGGTATTTATGATGCATACATATGTTTGATCACTTAGGCTATTAGCGTATTTGCAAAATGTGCCTTGGTAGCTAAAATATTACTGTCAATGTATTCTTATGTATACAAATTTATTACAGTTAAAGGATTAAAACAATTTTATAATTACACAGCATAAAGGTTGAATAATATTTTTTACTGTAGATTTTAGAGAGTAAAGGTGGTGAAGAAATCAGTCCGCAAGATTTAAAAATACTTACTTTAGAAAAAAATATTCAAGATACTGAACAGAATAATCAAAGAGCACAACAATTTTGGTTACGCCAGCAAGGATACATGGTTACATTGAGTCAGCAAAGAGATGAACAACTTCAGCATCTTAATCTTCTTAATAAGGAGGTTACGATAATGAAGCAAAAAAATATGAAGATACAATATCAGTTAGAAAAATTTGAGAAGGAAGATGCAAACATGAATAAGACAATAAATTTGTTGCATCAGAAACTTTTGCAATTAAATGCAAATCTTGTTGTTCAAAAGGAGCTTAGGGAAGAATTAGAAGATAAAAATTGTATTAAGAAGAATGAATATTTGACGTCATTGGAAAATGCAGAGTTTGATCTCATAAAATTACAAAGAGATTTACAAGTATTAACAAATGAGAAAGCAACTTTAAATGAAGAACTAAGTACAGCACAGAGAGAAAGCTTATCTTGGGAGAAAAAAGTAACTTGTATAATATTATATACTTCAGTGATGCTGCAAATTTTTATTGATTTCTCTTGATATCTTCTTTTTCTTCAGGTTCAAATAATACAAGAAACAAGTAAAGAAATAAAAAGTGAACGCACTAGTGGCGGTGATATAGCAGTAATGAAGAGTGAAATTCACAGAATGGAAATGCGTCTTTCACATTTGAAAAGAGCTCAAGAAAAGTTAATTAACGATATGGAGTTTTGTGTAGGAAGACGAGATGTTATTTTGAATAAAGTTATGGGCAAGTTGAAGAAAAATCCTAAGGAACAACAAAATCAAAAAATAGTGTTTACCAAACGTATTAAAGATCAGAAGTTAAAAATAAAACAAATCTTAAAGGTGCTTTTTTATTAGATTAAAATTGTTTTAGTGAGTAATATTTATTTCTTCTTATTATTGTGCTTTTAGGAAATGAAACAAATAGAATCTAATATATTACAAATGGAAGACAAAATGAAAGAAATGGTAAAAGAATTAGACGAAAAAAGACAAGCACTAAAGGGGATTGAAGATACTATTCCTGACATAGATCAGGAAATCATGAAAATGGATATGCTTAAAAGTTATGTAAGTTAAATTAGAGATATGCAATTTTTTTTATTAGAAAAATGATTTTTGTGTAGGCTACGTCACTACGTAATGACTTCTCGCTAAATAATGTCTAAGGACAAATAACTACTAAAGAGGGCTTTTTTTATTTAAATTAATGTTACAATGTGGAAATATTTTTAATTCGTATTTGTAGATGAATGTATATTCTTTTCATTTAGTATTAGCTTATTCTTTTGCTTGAATATACTAATATCGTTAATGCACTTTGTCATAGAAAAAAGAGTTTACAAATTAAGTTTTTATCGTTTCATAAATATAATCTATAATTGTTTTCAGAAATTAAAATCATTAGTGTTTAAACAACGTAAAGTAAAATTGCTTCAAGACATTAAATCCGGTCGTTACAAAATGCTTTTTAAAAATGAAGCATTATTGAACGATGAATTACAAAACGAACGAATTCTTCACAGTTATTTAGTACATGTGATGGAGCAAACGAAGCAGGATTTTCCACTTTTGAAAAATAGTATACATAAAATAATATTGACGTTACAATTATTGTAATAAAAAAAATTTCATTCGATTAATGCAATACAAATCAAATTTTACTTCAAACTTTTGTCAATTATCGTTAAAAAACATTTCAATGAAATTCTTTGAAAACGATATTGTTACCTTCAATTCGTAGGGTTTATTATATTTTCATCGTTGTAAAAGCTGAAAAAAAGAGAGATAATAGATGCGGTAATTAATAAGCCACATTCGTCATACATTTTTTTTTCTAAAAAGTTGTATTTTTATTAATTAATAAACGTGTTCGTATGTGTGTCCGAGTCTTTCCGTGTAATAGTATTTTACAAGAGGCTTGCGAAACCGCATTAAAGATGTCCGGTCCCGGTTTTTAAGAAAAAATCGAGATAAATCAAATAACAAAATTAACTAAACGCAAAAGATCGTCGCCGATCTGTGCGCGCGTTCGTCGAAGAAAAACTGAGGACGTGTCCCGTCGAAGTCACAACTTCAGATACTGTGGTGCGCGTCCCCCGTTTCCATTATATTTACACACATTGCCTCGAAATCCAAGAATGCCGCCTATTATTAAATGACAATAAATACTATTATTATAATAATGCATATATTATTGATATTATACATAATGCAAATATTATATATAATATAAATATATAACACATATTTATTATTATAATAATAATAATTATTATTTATTGCAGAATTCTAGGATGCAGTTCGAGCATTATTTATTCCAGGAATCGAGGAATGTCGACCCTTCTGGCGCATTTCGAACCTTTTCTTATTGCTGTCTTTTTAAACGCGTACCTACGAGTCAAATAAGCGCGCGAAACAGACGATCGATCCGCGAGACGTTTAAATAGCTGCCAATATGTTGAACATATGTTGAATTTCATTAAACAATGAACAAAAGTAAGAAATAACACATTTCAAATGGATAAATCGCGATCTCAGAAAACTAAAAAAAAAAAAGAAATACATTGAACAAGATTGAGAAAGAAAAAGTAAAATATAAAGAAAATATAAATCGTAGTGAGGCACGTAGTTTGTTAATATTAAAAACAAAAAATCAATGGCACGTCATCGCGCGGACGATTGTTCGTTGGATTCGCGCGGTGGACTCGTCGTCGCAGCTTATTCTTTTGTCAATAGTAAATACATAACCATTTATATCACACAAACTTTTAACAATATACAAAATGGTACCCTATGTACAAGATTAAATTACACGATCCATCGGCGCGGCACTTCTTCCTCTCAATTTTTTTCTCGCACTCTCTCTCTCTCCCTCTCGCTCTTTTGACGAATCAATTTGCTGAGTGTTGGATAGTTAAAAGTTGAGATCCAGCGACCGATGACATATTTAACAGAAAAAAAGTGCATTGCTTGGTCTGAAAATCGGTCGTTAGATCAACGCGCAGAACAATTATTTAATTATCTCTTTCTCTCTCTCTCTCTCTCTCTCTCTCTCTCTCTCTCTCTCTCTCTCTCTTTCTCTCCAAAGATTGCCGCGTCGCTTTCTCCAAAAGTCCTACCTACGAGCCCTTAATATTTTTTTGTTTTAAGTACGCAGAGCTCTTGAGACAAAAGTTCGCTAATAACGGAACGAGTAAACGTATAACGATCGAGGTGTTTATTTTTTTTTCTCTTATCCTTTCCTTTATGGTACAGTTTACATCAAAAACTTGTGTCTTTAGTTTCAATATCGAGAGCTTCGAATTGGCTCGTCATCAGCGTGTCGCTTTAGCTTTTCTTTCCCCTCGTCTGTTCATCACGTAAAACAGAATTGGAAGGGATAAAAGCCTGTCCAACATTCGAGAAACGACATTGGCTACGTGCGGTTTATAGATTATATCGCAACGTGTTATAAGATTATACATTTATGTTACATTTATTGCGGATGATCGTAACCCTGTCGCTTGAAAAAAAAAGTTTCTTTATGTCGCGTGCATCCCCATATTATTTCTTGCGCCTCGTCGTTCAATTTGAGTTTCGAAAATGTGCGCGCGTCTCTCCGATAGAAAATAAAAACGATGTTCTCGTGTTTTTTTTTCTTTTTTATTTATTTTTTTTATTTATTTATTTTCTTTTTTTCTTTTTTCGTAATGTATCTCATTGTCACATAGTGATCGAAGAAATATACGAAAGCTTGCACAAATGTCATAGATCGATGCTGATGCAAATTTCAAATTGCTTCATGCGTGACCCCATCTTTTTATTTTTCTTTTTCCTTCTCTTTCTTTCTTTTTCTTTCTCTCTCTCTCTCTCTCTCTCTCCTTTCTCTCCTTTCTCTCCTTCTTTTTTATTCTGAAACACACATACACGCAAGTACTTTGACATGATTCATTCACGGGGGAAGAAAGGGGATCATACATTTACAATCTTTCTACATTCACAGCCGTTATTCGAAGGCAGCAATTGGCTGTAAAAGAAAGCGTTCCTACTTGTCGTCGATGTGACCACCACGTGCAGAAGATACGTACTTCTGCTTCTTGAGAGAAATTCGCGTTTATATAACCACTATGAATGTAGTGTGTACCACTCGTGCATTCCTCGTTCAATGAATTAAATCGATAATCTTCGTCGAATGAGAGAGATTTTATTCGCGTAACGCGAATATAGTTCCGTTCGATTATTATGAGTAAAAGAAATAAGAAAAAAGGTAGAAAGGGAGACAGAGAACAAAGATAGGGAAAGGGTGAGGCAGTGAGAGAGAGAGAGAGAGAGGGAGAGAGAGAGAGGGAGAGAGAGAGAGGGAGAGAGAGAGAAGAAATGACGAGAAGCAAGACAACGTAGTAACCATCGAGGAAGATTAAAATGACGGTTTCAATCGTTTAAGAGTCTTAACGTTGGTACGGGGTTTCACCTTGCAGCAAGAGACACCATTAACGATCACGGGAACAAGGAACGCTTAACGAGTTTACGGAACGTGCTGCTCGGCGAGACGAAAGGACTGATAATTTTGAAAGAAAAATAATTTTCTAAGAGTCGAGGTATTTGAAATGGGTCGTCGCTCGTTTGAATCGCCCAAGTTTCTTTATTGACGTTCATCGTGCATCCCTTCTTTGAGAATTTTCCGTCGTCTGCTGTGCTCTGTGCGTTTCGATTTCTCGGAGGAACATAACTTGTAAAGCATAGATCGAAAAGGAAAGATGAGCATCATCCTTTTGCCTCGTACACGTAACGTCTCGAACATCGATTGAAGGAGGAGAATAAAGAAGACAAGAAAGCAGACGTGTTGATTCGTGAGCGAAGAGAAAAATCGACGGCGACTCGTCCTCCACGCGTGCTCGAAAAGTTTGGCGTTTCTACTTTTTTTCGATGACCGAACGAAAAAGCAACATTGTGTAGCCAGCAGCCGGTAGAATTTAATTTTCGACGCACTTGCGACGATCGAACGAACCATAACGCAGTATATATATATATATATACGTACACGTTGATTTTCGATCGTCTTTACAACGCACATTCTTCTCCCGATGCGAACACGCATCTCACGCACGTCGACGACATTTTCTTACAACGAGAGAGAAGGACGTGATCTTCGAGAGAGAGACGCATGCTGGAGACGGGCCTGGTAGAGTACCAACCACCAGGTCGGAGGGGTCTGTTCAGTCACAAGGATCCTGCGCCCACGGCGGCCACTCTTGATAGCTGCCGGAGGATGGCTGTTGCATGTGCGTCGTTTGCTGAGCCGCCAAACCCGGATGCACGAGGCTCATCTGATGGTGTTCGTGATGATGGTGGTGATGATGATGATGGTAGTGCTGATGACCCGGCGGAGGCGGCGAATAGGGATCCCCTCCTACAGCAACGTCCGCAACGTCGACCTGCGTTGGTACGACAACGGGCGTCGCTTGCGGAGAGGGTTGAACCTTCTTCGGGCGACCGACCGGGTTGCCGCCTCATTCGCGGCTCCTTCGAGGCCGGCCGACCTTACCTTTCCTTACCGGTGCACCACCGTTTCCTGCTGCTGCTGCTGCTGCAGTCGCTGCAGCAACGCTCGATGATTTCAGTATCTTGTGCCAGTCTGTTTCACAAACCGGTGAACCGGACAATAGATAGTACCTGAAAAATAACATCAACGTTACTTTCATGTTGGAATAATGAAATTTTCTATCGACAAGTCTTAGGTATATTATAAATTCATTATCTGAGAGAACTTAGAACGATTGATCTGACCTAAAGTTGAATTGCAAGAGATACGCGAAAATATTCGAAAAAATAACTTTCATTTTTGCAATCGGGAAATATAGCATTGAATATTGTAAAGACATATAAATGATATAACCATTTTTCATACGATCACATATACTTTTTTTTTTAACGTGATGGAATTTACGATACACGAGTACTGTATACGAGGAAATACTCTGTGTAGGCCGTGTCTCTCTACGGATCTAGAATCCGGGATTATGGTTACAGCGTATCGGTGTTGTTCGGATATTCAAAGGATTAGTTCTATGCAAGCTCGAATAGCCGAATAGTTTGATTACTGGAATGTACCATCGCTTTTAGCTTTTTTTTTGTTCTACCTAATGGACAGGATAATTTGTAGTCCTTCCTATCTGAAATAAAGCAACAACAATGGCTTCCTATCTCACCTGTCGCCCGAAACAAGCTGTCCACCGCATTTGCTGCAGGTGAAGCACTTTAGATGAAACACGGATCCACCCGTCCTCATGACCATTTCACTGGCAGGTATCGGATTGCCGCAACCTGCACAGGCACCACTACTGCCAAATATTCTGAAACAACGAAGAAATAATATTGTAAATCGTTATTGCCAATTATATTATCGACAATAAGTTTGTTTTTTTTTTCTTTTTCATCGAGTATTAGAAATGTCAGTCGCGTCGTTGTAAAACATGTCAGAGACTATATCAGTTTTATTATTTTCATGTTACGCTGAAAGTTATGTTTAATTGGCTCGATCATTTCAATTAAGTTGAATTTGCCATAATTAAAGACATAGTTTTCCAAGGATTACTTGACTTGATAAACACATTCTCGGGATAATGTTCACAGATAGAAGAACAGATTCCGAAGATCGGTGTGCAGTATCGTCGTAGTGTGTACGCTTGGTTGCATCGTCGACAAATCCTGATAGTAGAGGAATCGAACGAGGAAACGGGCGCCCAATTAGAGCGAACCCAGGGAGCCCCGGGGATGACGTTCTTCGAGCCGTCTCAGCGCAAGTCGACGATAAATATGACGCGTTTCCAATTAAATCTTGCGCCAGTCTCGCCGCGTACAAACACTTTCTAACTAAATGAGGTTAGGCTAGCGACGGCTGCTGTATAGCTCATGCAGAATTCTCTGTATGCAGGTATACATATATGTATACATAGTAGGATGTATATATATATCATTCTCTTGACTGTCTCGCTCTTAAACGTGTCGTAGGTCGTCCCTTTCTAGTGTTCTTCTATCGTTCTCTTTTTTACTCCCATCTACGTTTCTCCCTTTCATTCTTTCTCTCTCCTCCTTTCTTTCTTTCTTTCTTTCTTTCTTTCTTTTTCTCGTTCTCTTTCTATCGTTTACTCGGCAGTCCTCTCTCGTCCTATCTCCCGCCAGGGCAAACGAGCACATCGATATAATAAGGTGTTGTAAATGCGCCTTTTAATTGGCAGTCTGGCCAGATAACTCGGGACTGGAGTGCACGGCGCGTTTCTATCGGCGTGCAGCACGGTTCTCGTACGAAGTAACGGTCCTGAGTAGATAACGACTCCGTTCTCTTCTTATCCTCCTACCAACAAGTACCCCAACCATTTTCTATCTCTTTTTCTCTTCATCTTCGCTTTCTATATATTTCCTACGTTTATACGTTAATGCTAGAACAGTTAGGCCAGAGAAACGGAAAATCAATTTTCAAGTTGCATCAATCTCTAGTAAAGATTTCTTTTAACGATTACGATACGTAAATGCATATAAACGTGTTCAGTGATTTTCCTTAATTGATAGTTCGAACGATGATTTCAATCATTTTTAGACACTTGCTTTTTTTTTTTTTTTTTTTTTTTTTTTTTTTAAAAAAAAAAAAAACACCGGTGTGTCTAGGAAAAGATAATACTCGTCGCTTTCGAGTATTTGCTAATCCAGTCTGCTCGTCATTATATCGTAAATTGCGAGAGACTG